AGAAGCAGAAAGTACTCCAAGCACTGAACTGAATGACGAGAACAATCAGGACAGCCTAGAAGCAGCAGAACAGTCTATCTTGATCTATGTTGTCCCCGTCGTGCTGCTGGCCCTGCTGATTTTGCTGATCGTGTGTTTTGTAATGCATTACAAGAGGAAAAAGTCTAAGCAAGGTAAATTTGTCTTCTCGCGCATCAGAAGGGTATTTTTAGGATGCACTTGACATTAACAAAATGTTACTTGGAGGCCTGGGATGCCACATTCAGGATGCACTTCTCTGGTTGTAGTTGCACGGTCGACAGATGGGAAAGGGATGCACCCGCGGGCAGCAGCATGCGGACACGCGCCTCTCCTCGGGCGGGAGCTGGTGCTGCTTCTCGGCACCTCCTGCTCCGGCTCCTGGCAATGCCGGCGATGGTGCGCAGATGTAACCGTGTGGCTGCAGACACTTACTCTGTCTTTATGCCGCATAACTTCACACAAGGTGAATTTAATGCTGCTATTGCCTGTGCTGCCCACGTGGTAAAGCTGTTTGGAGCATCAATAAAATAAGAATAAGCAAAACCATTTTAAGAAACACTTTTAAGGGATCCTGTAGGGTGGTGGCAGCTACGAAGATGTCACAGTAAATGAGCTAGGAATCCCATGCCAGGACTACCTGGGTGCTGCCATAGCGAGGACAGCGCTTCAGGAAGGTACCTTGATCTGTTAGCTAAGAAATCAGTAACTTGAAGCGTCAAGCCACAGAAAACAAACTGAGATGTCATATTAAAACCATGGAGTTGGTAAGTGAAGTCCTGAAATGGACCTATCGGTGTCTCTACAGAACATGAGTGCAGCTGTAAGGTCCTCAGCCTGCAGACAGTGACATACATTCACCATAGATTTTAAGTCCATTTTTCAGGGCATTTTTAGGCTGCACCTGCCTTATCACTGAGTCATCCTCGTAGCAAACTCCGAATTCGCAACCAGGCACCTAGCTGCCTGCCTGTTATGACCTGAAATGCAGGTACACTATTCAGGGGGATGGAAAATGTGGTGCCTTGCAGGAGCACAATCCTGGGATCTTTTGCCCTGTGCCTACTGCTTGGAGCTGGGATTTTGGGCATCCTCAAGGCAGGGGCAGGCAGCTCTGTGGCCCTGTCGTGGGTCTGCAGCCAGGGAATGTGCTGGAACTAGCATGAGGTGTCATCATCCATTGGCAACAATGAATTAAAAATAAGCTGATATAAGATGGTGTACAGTGTGAATCCTATATGTAGTTCTTCATTCTTTTTCGAGAGTTGAGGCTTTTCAGTCACTTGATCTCCAGAGGGGAAGTTGTTTATCTGAATAATGGCTGTTACACTAATTTTTTCCCCCATTTTTACTTTGTCTTGGGGTCATAACTAGCTTTGGATCCCTTTTGACATCTGACTAGTTCAGCTTCATTTGCCTAACTGAAATTTAATCTGCCATGCAAATCCATCCCCCCCTTCTTCTCTGCATGAGCCATTCCCGGAGTCTCCAGGCAGAGATGGACTGCCTGGGTGTAGTCTGCAGCAGAGTGTCCCAATGCTTACAGTAAACAATTTTTTTGCAACAGTGGTTCCTCTTCAGAACACCATTACTCCCACAAAATTTGTTCTGCTCATGGAAGCGTGCATCTGCTGTGTCCTACCCACCGCAGCGCTAACAGTTGGTCTCCTCCCAGCACGGCTGGGCTAGTAATGAGCTGCTTTTAGTGCGTTCGAGATTAAAAATGATGGGTTCCTCCAAAAATTACAAACAGGATGAGATGTTTTCTCTTTCATCTACTAGTTAACCAGTATGTCTTTTGAATAAGCAACCTGTTTCACGTGACCCTGTTCAAGACTTGCTTGCAGACTGGACCCTGTATATACAAAGAGCAGAACTCTGAACACCAACTTCTTTCTTTTCCAGATGAACTGGGAAGTGAAAATGTGAAAAGGTAATGCTTATGAAAATCATGCTTTTTTTTTCCCCTGATTCTTTTACGCTAACAAGATATTATGATTTTTGGCTCCTTCATTGCCTGTGTTAATTTAACCATATGCTAAACACCATTACCTTTGCCAACAATTGCTCCAGTTAACTATCTCTAGGGGTGGCTGAAGCACAACTTTGGTATCCAATTTGCAGGTGTAAGACTAGAGGAGGAGAGCAGCAGCCCCTGGGGCTGAGGCGAGCACTGGCCCTCAGGCACCCACCGCCCGCAGCCACCCCTGCCCCAGCTCCACCAGCTGCCACTAGACAGACAAGGTGCCCCAAGAGCAGAGGGCATCTGTTCCCAGGCTCAGCACAGGCTTTTGCTATGACCTACTCATGACCTCCCCTTTTTGAAGTGACCACCAATGTCAGTCACAGCTAGGACGAAGCTTTAGACCCTCTGCTTTTATCACTGGAGCAATGGGACTTTTGCTGTGTGTTCAAGCAGGGCAGAGACAAACTATTTTATTTTTTTGTTTTCTATTTACAGTAGGGGCACTTCTCAAATAGCTGCAGTGGTCCTGTGCTCTGGCATAGCCCAGGCTGCACCATCCAAGTCCCTCTGTGTGTGATGTCCCAGCCAGCCCGCCCTACCTCTGCCCAGCACCAGCCCCTCATCGCCACCCCTTCGCCTCTGGTTGCAGCCATTTTCCTCGCACATGCTGGGCTGACATCTTCTCAGATTACTAGGCTAGGACGGCTTTCCAGAGTTTACACATGTGTCTGGAATTACAAAAGACTCATACAAAATTACTACATCGGAAATTGCTTGAATTAAGCATTTTGTGTAATGCCTTTTTTTTTCCTCCCCTCCCTCCTCTCAAGTCCTATTTTTGAAGAAGACACGCCCTCTGTTATGGAGATAGAAATGGAAGAGCTTGATAAATGGATGAACAGCATGAACAAAAATGGTACACGGTAACCTCTTTACTCCATCATCCCTCTTTTTCTACCTGACGTAGGTCCCATGCACAGAAAATCAATGTAAGGCATTTTGTATGTGTGTCGCTGCTTTTCCTACAATATTTTTAGTGGTGTTCTTGACTCCCTGCTACTAAAATAGCAGCTCAAATGTCAGGGGTAGAATTGTTCAGAGGAGTATTTTAGTTTGTGTGGGAGCTTATTTTTAACATATGATGGAATATCGTAAATGTTTTGAGTTTGCAGTAGACACTCCTATTAAATACATGTATAGCTGTGAATGGCATTTATATTTTTAAATAGACATTTTTAATGCTAAACACTAGTTTCTCTGAAGCATCTAGTCATTTCAGTCTGCAGAGTTTCTGGAGTTCCGTGCTCCACATGGCACTAGTGCAGAAGAAACATGTATTTGGTGGATGAGAAGCTCAACACGAGTCGGCAATGTGCCCTTGCAGCCCAGAAAGCCAACTGTATCCTGAGCTGCATCAAGAGAAGCGTGGCCAGCAGGTCAAGGGTGGTGATTCTGCCCCTTTTCTCCGCTCTCGTGAGACCCCACCTGGAGTACTGCGTCCAGCTCTGGGGCCCCCAATATAAGAAGGACATGGATATGTCGGAGTGGGTCCATAGGAGGGCCACGAAGATGATCAGAGGGCTGGAGTACCTCTCGTACGAGGACAGGCTGAGAGAGTTGGGGCTGTTCGGCCTGCAGAAGAGAAGGCTCCGGGGTGACCTTCTAGCAGCCTCCCAGTACCTGAAGGGGCCTACAGGAAGGAAGGAGAGGGACTTTTCACAAGGGTGTGTAGGGATAGGACAAGGGGGAATGGCTGTAAACTAAGAGAGGGCAGATTTAGATTAGGTATTAGGAAGAAATTCTTCTCCATGAGGGTGGTGAAACACTGGAACAGGTTGCCCAGAGAAACTGTGGCTGCCCCCTCCCTGGAAGTGTTCAAGGCCAGTTTGGATGGAGCTCTGAGCAACCTGGTCTAGTGGAAGATGTCCCTGCTCATGGCAGGGGGTTTGGAACTAGAGGATCTTTAAGGTCCCTTCCAACCCCTACCATTCTATGATTGTATGACTTACTCTAGTTCAGACCACCATTCACTTGAAATTGCTGCCAGGATCCTATGAATACATGCCTCCCCTGTTTGTGTCCTTTCCCTCACTTGCCATCTCTGCCATTTTTGGTAAGGAGTAAATTAACAGGGGCCTGATTTTGAACTGCTAACAGCTTTTTGCTGGATAGGAAATGCTGAAACCCTGATATTTTTTTTATTCCTGGTCCCTTGCCTTATATCCAAATGGCTCATTTGCCTGACCTCCTACGGATGCTTTGTTTTTCAGGACATAAAACTCTTTGGAGCATTTCTTTGAGTTAGCACAGTGCTCCACATGATGAGGTTTTGACCTTCGCGGTCCATAAGCTCTAGCAGAAAACATGTGCTAAGCAGCAGTAGTGAAACAGAGGCATGAAGTATAGTACACAGGGAAATAGTGCTATAAAATGTTTTTCAAAATTATGTGGACAGAACGGAGCGAATAGTTTACATACAGGGTTTTTTTTTTTTGTTAGTGTTCCCTAAATCCCAGCCCCAAATTCCCAGCTAGGCTATAAAGCATAGGTACAGGTATAAGCAGTGGAAGATTAAGAAATAGTCCTCCCCATGGTAGTTTCTAGAAAGTAGTTCTCAAAACTAGTTCATTTGTATAGGTGTACAAAACCAACTGAAATATACATAATAAAGAGATTATGGCAACACCTATCAAAGGGAAGGAGAATTTAAAACATGTAACATTTATGTTATGGGCACCATGAAGGTTTTACAGATAAAAGGGTGCAAAAGAACATCTGCAGTTTTACATTAGAGACAGACTGCAGGATAAAAGTTGATGCAATTTTGAAATAAATGGAGAAGAACTGCCAAGGGTAACTATAATCTTGTTTCTCACCCTTTTACAGCTGACTGTGAATGTTTGCCTACTGTAAGAGAAGAAGAAAAAGAATCAATTGCCAACCCAAGGTAATTCCAATTTATTAGATTATTTTGAAATGACGTTGACCATATTTCTTCAAATAATATGGTTTTTTTTATATCCAATTATAAATAGAGTGATTATTTGGTCTATTTGCATTTTAAAGTTTCTATATATAGGCACTTGGATTTCAACTTAAACAAAAGGCTTGACGCTCTTATTTCTAAACCGGTCTCTGCCTGTAAATTGCACCACTAAATAATCTTGCTGTTGTAAACCTGTGCGAGACAGACAACCAGATGGCACAGATGGAGTTTCACTCGTTGCTCAGACTTTAATCACAGTTTCCTAAGGTGTTAATACAAGCATTCAGTATCGCTTCCTTGGCACTCCCCACTGGCACGGAAACCCAGCTCCGCTCTGCCAGGAGGTGCCTATAGGTCCCCAAGAACCTCTGACAGATGTTTGGGCTGGAGCTGCGACCTGACGGACAAGGACTTGTCTGACCTCAAGGGAATCCCAAAGGATCTGCCCGATGTCCCCCTGCAGTGCTCCCCTATCCCCTCTCATGGGCCAAGCAGAGATCCCAGAGGCATGCGAAACATCAGCCCTGACAGCTTGTAAAGTTAAAAATTTTCTGGCTGGTTTCTTCAGGATTTTAGACAGAACCCCTAAACCCCTCCCAAGCTCCCATTTTCTCTAATTAAAAATTCTGGTTCCAGCTGGAAGCAAGGGGCTGTATGGCACCCTTGCCTGCACGCTTGTGTTGCAGCTGCACTTTGAGGAGCGGGCAAAGTAGCTCCTCTGTGCCGGGTTACAATCACCAACAATTAAACCATCCTATGAGCCAAGAAAATCCCTGGTGCAGCAGAAGCAGCGGACACCAGCAGGCTAGGCTGGGACCAGGGAGGGGTGGCAGGAAGAGGACCTAGGTCTTCATCTTCCCATGGCACAAGAGAACTCAGCTCAGCATGCCTCTCTGGCATAGCTGCACCTCCCACTGCAGTCCGTCATCATATCCCGGTCCCCCTCTTTTCTGAGTTCCCTTGCTCAGGAGCGAAATAGCGGTGATGTTAAATCCCCACTGCCGGAGGGTTTGCAGCTCAGTTGCTCCAAAGCTGCGGTTTCAGAGTAGCTTTTGGGTGGGGCTGCTCCACTGCAGCTGTTTGGATTTGAAAGGTTTTGCTCATGCCTATCACCAGAGAAATTGTTGTTGCAGGGGTTTTGGGGGTTATTTTGTTGTTTGTATTTTTTTTTAAAAAAAGACTTGGATCCTGGGGTCCAGGTGCAAGCAAGTGCAAGAATTTTACCCTGAGCAGCTGGAAAAGATGCTGATTTGCTAGTCATCTGGGTCTTCCCTTCCAGCCTCTAAATGATAACTCAGAGGGGGGAAATTGCTAGGGAGAGGCAGCTGCACAGTGGTTCTCTAAAAACAGGTTTGCTGAGCATACCCCTGACAATGGTAGGAAGCATAGGACAAAGTGCGCTTGAGACATATGCTAACACCAGCAGAAGCTGGTTGTACTAAAAAATGCTTTTTAGGCACAACACCACCCTGAGCATTAAGTTTACTTTCCAAAAAACCAGTTCATTTTTCAGAAAAAAAGTTACGACCTACCAGCTTGAGCTGACATTTCAAATATCATCCTTGCTGAAGTGCTTTTGTAATAGAGTTGCATTAACCCCATCAGATGGTGGGGTTTTTGCTCCTGACTGGCAAAAGGCATCTTTGGGCTACACCCTGACTCAAGTGCCCCACCTGTAAAATAGAGATATTGTCACTTCAAAGCACTATAGTGAGGCTTAAGCCTTGATGCAAAAAAGCAGCCCTGTTCAGATCAGTATGCTTCAGTCAGAGTGAAGGTACACACGTTATCTAAGCACATTTTCTTATGACTGGTATCCTAGGAACAGACTGTAGAGAAATTTATGCCTCTAAATTGTAGCAAGGCAAAGAAATGCAAATAAAAGAGGAGATTTATTTCTAAAACATTCAGAACTGCTCAGACAAAGGATATTAGTTGAATACAAAGTGCAAGATTATTAAGTTCAGTTTCAGATTCTGAAAGACTGCTTTGTCTGGGCAAATTTCTTCTCAAATCATGGTAATTCATTTTTTTAGATTTTATTGATGGTATTTCAAAATGCAAAACATCTTACGGCCTCACAGAACACAGCTGGCTGAATATTGTTTTCCTGCTTCATAAAGATGCTGGGGGGAGTTCATCAACACCCAAATATTTTGAACGATGAACTGATTTTGATATCATTTTGAAAACACACGAGACTAAACATTTCAGTAATGACATTTTCAGAATGAAAGTTGTTCCAAAACTACTTTTCAGATTAAGTAACAAAATTTTAAAAAGGTTTAAAGGACAGAACCCTGTGGTGGTGAAACATTTCTAAGTTAAGTGCTTGCCTTTACTCAAAACACTACTGGGCATCATCCTAGTCTTTCTGTCCAAAAAAGGGTCATACTTTCTTATGGAGAGATGTTCGGGGTGAGGACTAAGTTGGTATGGAAAGAAACACTCCTTTCCCAGGCTGTGCTGCAGTGTGCCAAAGTACTTAAAAAAACATGCAACATGTGAAGATTATGAGTGTCCATTTTAACCTCAGAGGTGATTTAAACCCTGCTGTTAACGCTGCCTGAAATCTAATCAGCTGATAGAAAAAATATCATATTTTTAATGTTGGTGGCATGAACCAAACATTTTTAATAAAATGCTAGGGATCGAGCTAGCTAGGCAGAAACCAGTAAGACAAAGAAAACTTGCCTGTTATGAGGACAGATTTAATACAAAAATTCCCCTCACCTGTGGAAAGAGAGCAATTTGATTGCTCAGTCCTCACCAGGGAGCAGGCGAAGGGGTGCTCTGGGCAGCCACCAGAGAAATCAGACCAGCCCTTGCTGCCAGCACCCAGCTCCACTGATGGAGTCCTTTCATGCATTGCATAGCCAACATGTTTGTCTTTTGATAACACCTTCTCGTGGGCTCCAGAGATACTCTTGCATATGGTTTTCTGCTGAGACAACTAACCCAACAGCATGACACTGCTGTCTTTTTTTCTTTTCCATGCATACGCAGTGACGGTGAATCATGAAGCCAGAACAGCAAAGAACTGGTTAAAGGGAAGCAGCACACAAGATAATGATCCTCCAGATATTGGATGAACTGGATTTACATATAATTCATCTCAAAAGGCCAGAGAAGCAAATGCTTCTGTTGTGTCCTGCTACATACAGTCTTCAGAAAGGAAACATCACCAAGGAGAAGAAAAAAAAAAAGCAAAAGCACTATAGTAAGATTAAGAGCTGATTTAAACTCCGTTTGCAGTGAGATTCATCACAAGAGAAGCCTTCCGCCCCCAAAAAAGTTCTCAAAATTTCCCATGTTTCTGTTTAGTTCTTCAGTTGTGTAACATGCAGCACTTAAAACCACTTCTCTTCCAAGTTCAGTGGGTTTCTTTGTATTTTTTGTGGTTGTTTTGGTTTTTTTTTTTTTTTACATATAAACAGCATCCGTAATTCTGGACTGCCCTGGTTTCTTGGATGTGAAGCTCAAGCCTACGCAATGTTTGTTTTTCAATTTGCACACTCATTTGCACAGGACTCCTGCTGGGGAGGTACCAGACAAGGACTGACAGACCAGCTCCAAGGACAGCCAGAGCAGCTGAAAAGTCTCTCAAAGGATTTGCCAGAAGCGGCTGCAGCCCAGCAAGGGCATGGTCTTTGTAGCATGCTTTTTGATTTTCAAATTAAAGTCATTGCAGAGTTGAAGAATATTATTTTCAGATTGCCTTTCAGTTTGTTGTCTCCACAGATTAGTACCCTGGGCTAGCTCTCACCATTTAACCCTCCTCCCTGCCCAGTGCTGTTCTCTAACAACTACCTACTTCAAGAATATTTGACTTAACCATATCTTTTTTAAAAAGGAGAGGCTGAAAATTGAACAATTCAGTACTCACACCAAACACAAGTTTAGGTAAGTGCTTGGTCAAGGTTTTCAGACACAGCAAGATTTTTGGTTTTGAATGTTGAGCCTGGAATATCTAAAAGACATTGACTTCTAAATGTGCCTGGTCATGTTTAATTACACTGAAAAAAAACCCAACCAGAATCCTGAGGTACCTCAAGGTGGGAATAAAAACATTGTAATCTCATCCATTGGTTTTAGGTGGTGTGTCTCATACGGGTGTAGTTTAAATGTGTAAGGTGCACGTGAAAATGGATCCTTCCTTATCTGTGCAAAGCTGTCCCCCCCCTTATTTAAAATATTTAATTCATACTCTACCATAGCTCATATCCTACCCATCCTCATCTTCCATTTAAATATATGATTTCTTCCCACTCAATACATGTTTAGTATCATCAGTTTTGGTTTGCCTGCAAATATTTCACTGACATGTTTTCATGTTAGCTTGGTTAAAGAGAGCAAACAAAAGGCCCAAGTCTCTGGGGTGACAGCTAAGTGTCACTAACAGCTGACAAACGCAGAGGAGGGTTCAGCTTTGAGTAATTGAGGAAGTGGCAAAATAAAAAAGGAAAAGTGTTTACAGCTAACCATATTAATTATTTACCAAATATGACTTGACTACTAATTTTCTCAGAGTAAAAGATTTGTTGATTGTTCCAAAACAATTTATTGCAAATATTAGTTTTAATACACGAGTGATGGCAAAATAATTTTCCCTGCTTGGATGACTTAACTTCAAAAAAATGTTTTAAGTTCATCTTTCACAACTTTTTTTTTTTTTAAAAAAAAGCAAACATTTCCACCAGCTCCTGATAGTAAACTCATTCTCTAAAATATTGATTTAAAATAATGCAATCAAAAGGGGAAAAAAGTGAAAGACTAAAATACAAAAATTTTGAAAATGGAAGTGGGTATTTTCTGGTAGCAGCTGTTTGCAACTTCTTTCCAAACAATGCTATGCTCTGACTTCCTACCGTTTGCAAAGCAGTAACCTGAAGACGCTCAAAACAGACTGTTTTCTTTAACAGTGGAAGATAAAAAGATGTATTTTGAGACCATTACCAGCT